AGACAGACACATTTTTGTATTTTATCCAGCTGTATTTACTCAGTGCAACTTATAACATCCAAGTGAAAAATATAAGACCAACATGCCAGAAAAAAAAAATCCAAAAACAGAATCACTGAGTCACTCCCCTCCTAAAAATTACTTGTATATTCAATCAGGTGTAGCTATTCACCTCCTCAATGGCACACAAACCCATTTGACTTTCAACTGTGATCAGCTGTAGCCATTTTGACTAGCTCAGATTTCCTGGACCATTTCAGTCCCTGGTAGTGCACTTGAAGCAAACAATCAACCATGGGTGGGAATGCACTGTCAAAAGATTTCCAGGATAAAGTTGTGGACAGGCACAAGTCAGGAGATGGATCCAAAAAATTTCAAAGGCCTTATCAATGCCTAAAAGCACAATAAATCCTTTTAAGAAGTGGAAGGTATTTGGTACAACACAGACCCTTCCTGGATCAGGATGTCTCCACAAATGTAGCTTGTATGGGAGCATTGCAAGAAAAAAGCCATTCCTCAAGAAAGGCCATATGCAGTCACGACTGAGCTTTGTCAAAATGCACCTTGAAGATTCTGAGGTGTCATGGTCAGATGAGACAAAAATTTAATTATTTGGCCTCAACACTAAATGATATATCTGGCGGAAATCCAATACAGCTCACCATCCAATAACACCATTCCTACAGTAAAGCATGGCAGTGGTAATATCCTGTTATGGGGGTGTTTCTCTGCAGCAGGGACTGGAGCACTTGTCAGGATAGAAGGACAAATGGATGGGGCATAATACTGTCAAATTCTTGAGGAAAATCTGCTGCCCTCTTCCAGAAAGTTATCAATGGGAAGGTGGATTGCCTTCCAACATGACAGTGACCCAAAACATATAGCAAAAATTATTACCACACACTGGTTGGAGGAGAAAACTGTAAATGTCCTTGTATGGCCTAGTCAGAGCCCAGACTTAAACCCGGTTGAAAATCTGTGGAACGACTTGAAGACTGCAGTCCACCAACGATCACCATTAAATTTAACTGAACTTGATCAGTTCTGCAAAGAGTGGGGCAAATAGTGCAAAGTCTAGATGTGCAAAGTTAGCAGAGACATATCCTAACAGACTAAAGGTTGTAATTAAAGCAAAAGGTGGTTCCACAAAATACTGACACAATGGGTGATCCTTTTTTCAACTCAATGATTCTGTCTTTGAATTTTTTTTTCTGACATGTTGGTGTTATGTTGGTGTTGTTCTTTAAATTGGATGTTAGAAGCTGCACTTGGATGTTAGAAGCTGGATAAAACTAAAACTGTGTCTGTCTTCATTTCAGGCTGCAAAGCAACAAAATGTTATTATTTTAAAGGGGGTAATTCTTTTCTACACCCACTGTATTTGGATGGGGCATATCATAACGAACAAATCAAGGTCATACATGAGCTATAGCATACAGAAGGTCAGATAGTCTCCTCCCGGGTGACAGGCCTCTCGGAAATATCCTGTGTTTGGTTTTACTGAACACGAAATATAATCCTGAACAATAATCTACCAGTTTCCAGAATGCAACCTGTACATATTGGAAGATATTAATATTAATATAAAAGTGTGTGTAAGGGAGGGCCATGATACAGTCATAGACACAGTGACATCCCATGGTGACACAGTGACATCCCATGGTGACACAGTGACAACACCCCCTTGATATCAGAGAAAAGGAGACTGCTCCTGAAATTGGCAGCTCTCGTTTAATATCAAACTATGGAACACCTGTCAAGTCGTATGTGAGCCAATGTACCGCCTTGCTTGATTGATTGGACTCTGCTAAAACCAGGATTTGCAAGTATTTTTCACCCCTTTGCCTTGCTGTTGCTTGTTGCCTGCTTGTTACTATGTAACATCTTTATTTTTTATTGTAAATATTTTATTTGCACCATTTTATCCTTTTCATTATTAAACCATATTTTGAAAAGTGTTACCATGGTCTCTAATGCTCTAATGCAAGCTAAAGAATCCCTGTCTCTTAAAGAGCTGCAGTGGACAGGAGGATGCCAAAGGACAGTTTACCGCTGGAGCATGGGGGGGTGCTGTCTGCTGGGGAAGCAGAGGATCAGGAAATTAAACTGCTCTGACCATCCCCTGCTTAGACTAAACAGCTGTCAACACTTACAAAGTGGTGCAGCCCCACTGAAAGAGAGAATTGTACGTTTTCCTTAAGTTCAGCTTTCAGCAATTTCTGGGAAAGCATTGTTATACGTATGACAGTACATTGGGTGAAACAGGTTTTTCAGACCGAGTTAATGATGTTCTAAAAATGTAATAGCTATACAGGGTTAGTTTTTTTCTTCTACAGAAAGTCGATTTAAAACAATTTCAGGAATGCAAGAAACTGAATATTATATCCGCGCTAGAAATAGAACTAAGCTGCCGCTTACATAATTGTGATACCAACTCTGTACATATTAAACCCAAAAAAAAAGCAGCGCTAATCAATATTAAGTTAGTGATTACATCAATAAAGTGCAAAATATTAAATAAACATTCAAATTATAAAGTGCAAATTCAAAAAAATAAAGTGCATAAAACTCCAGTTTCACTTTTTGAATGTTTTTGTTGCACTTTAATCTATTGCATTTTGGAGTTTTATGCACTTTATTATTTGAATGTTTATTTAATTATTTGCACTTCATTGTTGTAATCACTCACTTAACTTCTTGCCGACCAGCCACTGTAGAAATACAGTGGCATGTCGGCACGGCTGGACAAAACCACATTTTAAAACCGTGCGTTTGCAAAACAGGTAGGGGCGCGTGTGAGGCGCGTGCCCCCCCTACCCATCCCTCCGATCGCGGCCGCGGGTGTCAGTCGCCGGGTCACGGCTGGTCATTACCTACCGTGTCCCGGCGATTAGCGGCAACCACTGACAGAGACAGTCCCCTATCAGCTCTTGACATGCTGATCCGGAGAAAATAGTTTCTCTCTCTGGATCAGCGTGTTCCCCTGTAATACACCCCCCCCCCCGCCCCCTAGTAAAACACTCCCCTCACACAGTTAACCCTTTCAGTAAATAAAAAAGTTAACCCCTTCCTCCCCAGTGCCATTTGTACAGTGTCAGTGGGGTTTTCTTTGCACTGATCACTGTATTGGTGTCACAGAGGATGTCAGTGACCCCAAGTCAGTTCCCCACCAGTGTCAGAATGTCCACCACAGTCCCGCAGTCCTGCCATAAGTCGCTGATTGCTGCCATAAGTAGCTGATCACCGCCATTATTAGTATTAAAAAAAATTAAAAATCCCAGTATCTTTCCTGCCATTTGTAAATGCTATAACTTTCACATAAACCAATTAATTTACACGTTTTGGGTTTTTTTTTTAGCAAAGACATGTCACAGAATACATTTTGGCAGAAATTTATGACTAAATTTGATTTTTAAATTTTTTTTACTGGACATGTTTTATAGCAAAAAGTCCAAAATATTGTTTTTTTTCTCAAAATTGTCAGCATTTTTTTTTATAACGCAAAAAATAAAAACGCATAGGCGATCAAATACCACCGAAAGAAAGCTCAATTTGTGGGAAAAAAAGGATGTAAATTTCATTTATGTACCGTATTGCATGACCGTGCAATTGTCCGTTAAACTAGCGCAGCGCTGTATAGCAAAAAAATTGTGTAAATTGTAGTATCTATACCATAGTTTGTAGACGCTATAACTTTCACACAAAGCAATAAATATACACTTATTGGGATTTTTTTACTAAAAACATGTAGCAGAATACATTTTGGCCTAAATTTATAACCAACTTTGAGTTTACTATATATTTTTTATAGCTGAAATTAAAAAAATATTGTTTTTCTTCAAAATGTTTGGTCTTTTTTTGTTTACAGTGTGAAAAATAAAAAGCGCACAGGTGATCAAATACCACCGAAAGAAAGCTCTATTTGTGTGAAAAAAAGGACATATATTTCATTTGGGTGCAGCATTGCATGACCGCGCAATTATCAGTTGAATTAGTGCAGCGCCGAGTAGCAAAAAGAGGCCTGGTCATTAAGGGGGGTAAATCCTCAGGAAGGCAAGTGGTTAATACTGATTGGTGCTGCTTTTTTTCCCGGTTTATTTCAGGAATGCTTAAGTAAAATACCAATATTATACCCCCAAAAGGTTTCTTTTTCTCCGTATATGTCCCCATGTGGTGTGTCAGGACGGTACTGTCATACATGAATATAAGTAGTAGACAAACAGGGCTGCAGTGCAAACAGGCACAATATTAAGTAACCATCAATGACCAATCCAAAGTCTCGCTTTCATTTAAAGTAACAAAATTAGAAAGCCTGTAATCTGACAAGTTATATTGCTTCAGAAGAATTTAAATGAGTACCCAAGGGCCAAATGTAATGGACTTAAAAGGAAGAAATGAACATAGTCCCTAAGGCCTGCTTCCCACTACCCTGCATGGTAAAGCATATTATTTTACCACGCAGGCAGCTCTAACTGTGACAGTCAGCAAGGATAGGAGTGCATCGCACTGCCTCCCCCCCCCTCCTTTTTAACTTTATTAGACGTCTCACATACATAGTGACATTTAAGTCATGTGCTGCAGGGCAGTGTGTTGACATGTGGTACCATCATGAGTGCATGTTGCATTTTTGTGCACTGCATCAAATGTCACAGCTGCATTGTGGTGTGAACTGGACACATAGAAAACAACTGCTTTTTTATGTACCTTAGAGGTGACCTGTGTTTTTCTAGTGTGAAACAAAAACAAAAGGTCACCGCACATAGTGTGACTGACATCTTAATCAGGCTATTGTAACTGAAATGTAATTTTTAAACCATAAATGATTTTGGCCCAACCCCTACTATTGTCCAGTTAGATCTACCTTGGCACTTGGTAGACTCCATGTTTTACATTGCATTCTCTATTTGTGAATACCACTTGCTGCCTTGAATTACGTCAGTGGTAAATTTTCTTACATCCAAAAAGGCAGGGTCAAGTATGGGACACCAATGCACCTGTCACTATTCTAATTTAAGAAACAGATGTCCTACCAATAGGTTGTCACAGATCCCACTGTAAATCTTCCCCAAAGTATTGGCATCAAGGGGAGCAAGGAGGAAGACATCTGCCCATCGACGCAACTCAATGTGAAGAACAGGGTCAGAGCGCTGCTTCCACATCTGTGTGTATAGAATAAAAACAGGTACAAAGGTCAATGTTTACCACTGAAAAAAAACAAACAAAAAAACCCCACAAAAAACAGTAAATATTATTATTATACAGTATTTATAAAGCGCCAATAGTTCGCTCAGCGCTGTACATTACAATGGGGGACAGTAAATATGAACTCTATTTTGCAGAAAAACTAAAAGCGCATATAAATCATAAACTAAAGATGTAATTCACAACAGGTTATGACTCCTTACAGTCATGGCCAGAAATATTGGCACCCCTGCATTTTTGTCAAATATTGCACCACTTTGCCCAGAAAATTGTCGCAATTATAAAATGTTTAGGCATTCTCTTGTTTATTTCTTTTATTTGTATTGGTATGAAACATAAAAGTGCAGAAAAAAAAAAAGCCAAATCTGGAACATTTCATGCAAAACTCCAAAAATGCAGGGGTGCCAAGATTTTTGGCCACGACTGCATATGAGATGGTTGCTTTAGTTTTCATTTTCTTCTTTATTTTCAACTGACCATCCTGCAAGTAACACACTTCATGTCTTGGGGAATTTGCACTCACTCCACTTTATCTAAGAAGGCACCCATGCTCGTTCCCCTAGGTTGGACTTCATACATGTCTTCCTCTTTTCATCTTCGTTACCACAGGGGAGGAGAGATCAGTAGTTTAGAGAAGGAAAATTGGGTAGTTTGTGCTTTCAGTTTACTTCACAGGAAGTAACAAGGTCACACAAATGATCAACAGGCATTTTATTTCCTTGCTGACAAAGTTCTAAACCTCAAAATTAAAAAAAGAAAAAAAAATATGCAACCACCATATCTATAGACTGGAAAGACACAATATATAAAACACTTGTTCATGGGTGTGGTTAGCCTTTAGCTTGATTTTCAGGAAAAAAAGAAAAAAAAAAAAAAAGCCCACCATTAGTGACATGTCTTAGGGCACATTTACATCAATGCGGTGCATTAACCACCTCCCGCCTGCCATATAGTACAATGACGGGCGCAAGGTGGTTCTCTCATTCTGGGAGGACGCCATACGACGTCCTCCCATTCTCACTGCGCATGCGCATCTCCGGGACACAGCGGATCACCGATCAACGGAAAGAGCCGAAGATGTCAGCTCGGTCATGTGATCAGCTGTGTCCAATCACAGCTGATGACATGTAAATAGGAAAATTATGGTTATCGGCATTTCTCTCCTCACGAGCTGTCACACTGACAGCTCAAGAGGAGAGGAGAGGAGAGCAGAGCCGGTAATCGGCATTCCACAGAGGGGACATGTACACTGATCATCAGGGCACTGATGATCAGTGTGCCCTGATGATCTGTGTAGCCCCAGCAGTGCCACCTGTCAGTGTCCATCAGTGCCAGCTGTCAGTGCTCATCAATGCCACCTGCCAGTGCCCATCAGTGCCACATCAATGCCACATATCAGTGCCTACCAGTGCACATCAATGCCACATATCAGTGCCCATCTGAGCTGCCTTTCAGTGTCACCCATCAGTGCCAGTTAGTGCCACCTATCAATACCAGTCAGTGCCACCTATCAGTGCTGCCAGTCAGTGCTGCTTATCAGTGTCACCTATCAGTTTGCATCAATGCTGCCTATCAGTGCTGCCTTCACAGCTAGACACACTTGTATACAATGGATGGCATGAAAGGAAGCCATCCATTGTTTACAACTGTCATGTGACCTGCTGTGATTACACAGATCTGTCATCGGCCGTGTCCGAGGTGCACGGCCAGTGACCGATCTCGCCACAGCGCGACCCTGCGAGCATGCACAATGCGCATTCCGGGAAGGACGCCATATGGCGTCCTACCAGAGGGACGCGCCCGCCGTTTGGCTATAGGCTGGGCGGCAACTGGTTAAATGTGACAAATTCATGTACAGGTCTGAAACATGTACATGAATTTGTTGCAAAGCCTGCTTTGTGCACAGGGCTCAGGACCCTGTACCGTTGAGCTTTACTGGTTGCTAGGGCGCTGGTTGGCCATGGGGCAGCTGTTAACCAATGACATTGTGAAGCTGAGCCTGATTGTTTGCTAGGATGCCAGTGGCCTCGGGACATCCCAGTAACTAATGATGTTGTGAGGCTGCTAGGATTCCTGTGACCAGCGTCCTAGCAATCAACAACATGGGGGGGCAAACTCCTCAACACAAATGACTCCAAAATTACATTGGTCATTTTTACTGCATTTCCTTCTCTCCTAAATGGAAGTATTTCTTGGATTGGATTCAGCCCATTCCAACATAATGTAAAAGTGTCACTATTGAAAACCACCTGAATTTGTCACACGTGTTAATAATAGCATTAGAACTGCCACACGGCTTTCTTGAATTTGGTGCAGGACATTCTTAGACAACATTATTGCCAGTAGAATATTGCATATTTTATAGCTATTGAATCGCCCCCTCTAGCTACAGGCTTTAAGGCAATCACAGTAACAAAAATAAATCTCCACATCTCACCTTCCACTCATCATCGTCACTGTAAATGGGTACACTTATTTCCTTTACATTATAAAAGTGTTTTGCTTTTTCCGTAGTCACAATCTGCACTTGAACCTAAAAAGAAGATATTCAGTTATATATGATGTAGGACAGAGAAAACAGCGGCACAGAGATGATGACAATCCGTGTTTAAACAAACTATAAAGTGGTACTTCGTGCAGACCATTGTGGAATATAATGCTACCATATAGCAGAATGTATTTCACATACTAAAGGCTATTAAAACAAATAGTTATCGGGATTCTTAGTATTAATGGGTAAGGCAAAAAACACTTGAACCTCATCCTATAGCTAGCTTCACCAAAACGGTTTCTACAATCAAAGTGTTACTAAACCCACAACAGTAAATCAGTCTGTATATGCAGTAAAGCATCCGAACCGGATATCGTATGTACTCTCCAGCGCCTCAGCATATGCAGATGTATGCTGAATGGAAAGTAAGAGCCTTGCTGTTGAGGCATCAACAGCAAGGCTCTTACTTTCCATTCAGCATACATCTGCATCAGAGGTTGGTCATCAGCTCTGAGGAAAGGGATTCGTCCCCAAAACGCATCAGCCATTTGACTGCACTGACAGTGAGAACACCTTGCCCGCCGTTGTGGCCATTGTCATTTTTCTATGCTTTTTAGATACATACTTCGTCTGTGAGTATGTTTTTATTATTCTTTCACTCCTACAATAAACCTTGGATAATGCACTAGGTGTGTGCGCCACCTGTTTTCTCTCTATGCAGTAAAGCATGCTTGATATACTCACTGTGGAATCTAAGGGGTTAATCTTCTGCATTGTGTAAAAAGACTGTTTGATCCTGACTTCTCTGATCCTCCTCTTGTTCAAATGTCCAAGCTGATAAGCAGACTGAACCTTTAGCCCTTCTGCATATGCTCAGTTTAGTGTGTATTGCTAGAGAAGTTTTTTTTCTTGGGAGGGTGCATGTGATCAGCACAAGGCTAATCAGCACTGTCCAGACAGGAGGTCAAGGTTTTGCACCTTCCTAGAGCAGAACGAAAACTCCTCCTACAAACTTTAACCAGTGATCAGTTGAAGTCGCAAGACTGCTCCAAATGCTGAGGAAAAGTATTTATTAGTTTATATTTACTAAAATAATGTCATTTCCATGTTCTGTGTACTGTGGGAGACCAGATATAGTGAATGCAGGGTCCTGGGTTTAGTAACACTTTAAGGCAGACCTGTGGGTGGTTCAGGCATGTTAAGATGGCTCCTTTTCGGAGTTGCAGACATCTCAAGGTGCCTGTCCACAGTTTCAGCTTCTTTGAAAAGTCAATTTACATTTGCGCAGATGTAATAAGAGAAGTGTGCCCACAGTTCACATGGTCACCGTTGAACTCATCTTCTTACCCCTAAAGCAGAAGTTTAGTTAATTTTATTTTTTTTTTTTTGCTATGCAACACCAGGGTCATGCCTTACCTCTAAATGTGTCCCATATTCTCAATGGCTGCTTCAAAGTGTAGACATTTTTCCTCCAGACACTCCAGATGTTCCCCAGAGCGGTTATCTTCTGGCACTGTGAGTATAAGATTAGCGACTGCAAATGGAAGGCCATGATGCCACTTGCCCACCCCTTCATCCTCTCTCGTCCATTCACAAAATGTATACTATGTTGTCCTCCATTCACAGAATGTTTTGCATGCTAGGACAGAAAAGGATACATTTTGTGAATGGGCAAGAAAAGGTGAAGTGGCGGTGGGCAACACCAAAGTGTCACACTAGCAGCCCCTAATCTCCACCCCTGCAATGCCCTAAGATCACTGCTCCAGGTATCCATAGTCATTGCAGGGAAGATTTATACACTAAGCAGCAGCCAGCCAATGAGTACCTAGGACACACTTTATTAGGCCCAGTTCACATCTATGCTTTTGTATTGAACTCTATATAATGTGTGCATTGCTTAAAGCTCATCACAGTTATAGCACACAGGGTTTTTACAACACTCCACACATAAAATGCATAGAATGCATAAACTGGGCCTTAGAAGTAAATTATGTCTCTAGGCCTGCATGGCCAAAACATTTTACTAAATTCAGCTTTAATAATGACAGTATTAATTACTGTATACTAAAACCACCAACACAAAGTAACCTTAGTTTGAGGTTAGTCACATATGCTACTAAAACAAAATCTTTGCTCAAAGAGTCCAATGAAAGGTTTACCTTGATTTTGTAAAGCGCTGCACAAACTGTTGGCGCTATATAAATCCTGTATATAATAATAATAATAGCAACAAACTGATCAGTAGGGTACCACTATCAGTACCTTTGTAGAGTCAGATGATCACAAGTGCGAATACCACAGGTACCACCCACCTACATTGCTGCAGTTTTGCATTAGCTGTACTGGTTAACACTTCACAATTGGAACCAGAACCTCGTAAAGCTCAAATTTAATTTCATCCCAGAGGGGTGATATATAAAAAAGCCTGTGTCCACTTAGGATAATGTCCCCTGACAACTTAAAGAGAATGCATAGTGGTTAAGACATATTCTTACTTTTTTTTAATCCTAACCATAATTACTAAAAAACTTTTTTATTGCCTGGTCATTTGTGAGCTATGAATACTGCATATGAGTATATTTTATGCTCCTGTCCAGCCAGCAGATGGAGCTCTCAGCTCCTTGTCATGTTTACTGGCTGTTTTCAGATACTCATATCATGCTTGTCATTAACCACTTGTCCTCCAGAGGATTTACCCCCCTATCCTGAACAGGCCATTTTTTGCGATACAGCACTGTGTGACTTTAACTGACAATTGCGCGGTCATGCAACCCAAATGAAATTTACGTCTTTTTTTCCCACAAATAGAGCTTTCTTTTGGTGGTATTTGATCACCTCTTCAATTTAAATTTATTTAGCTACAAACAAAAAAGACCGACAATTTTGAAAAAAAAAAAAACTATATTTTTTACTTTTAGCTATTAAACATGTCCACCAAAAAATTAAAAACAAAAAATTAAATTTCGTCAAATTCAGGCCAAAATGAATTCTGCTACGTCTTTGCTAAAAAAAAAATCCCAATACGTGTAAATTAATTGGTTTATGGGAAAGATATAGCATTTACAAATGGTGGTATATATATGGGGATTTTTTTTTTTTTTTTAACTCGTAATGGTGGAGATCAGCGACTTATAGCAGGACTGCGGCGGGCATATTGACACTGAGGGGGAACTGTCACTGAATCCCCAGTGACACTAATACAGTGATTAGTGCTAATAAAAAGCACTGACTTTGTACTGACACTGGGCAGGAAGGGGTTAACATCTGGGGCGATTAAAGGGTTAACTGTGTGTTGTGCTTTATATTGTAAGCAGGAGCTGACAGGGGAGAGATTTGTATTGTTTACATACAGGCTTGATACTCACGCTGGGTGCCGGGAGTAAATCACCAGCCAGAACCCGGTGATCGACAGCCAAGGCTGCCAATAGCAGCATGCCCCCTACCGGAAATGCAAAATCACGAATATATATATATATATATATATATATATATATATATATATATATATATATACACACACACACACGTGATTTTGAGCAGCCGGGTCACCCTGTAGCAGAATTTCTGCTATAAGGCAGCGCCGGGCCACCCTATAGCAGAATAAATCACATATTCATATTGTTTTGCTGTAAATTAATGTACACTTTACTAGATTTAGGCTGGTAGTACATTACACAATTTTCTTGAAAATTTTGCTTTAGATTTACCAATAAATATATAATATGAGGTCAAACCTAAACACTTCCAATTGTATCCAATTAGGCAGGTCTTTGCACTACATAGTTGAAGGTAAATATAAAGGAAATTGGGCAGAAATTGTAAGAAAATTGTATAGTGTATGGCCAGCCTAAGTTTCTCCAATAAATAACTGTTTAAAAGTTGGTCAGCGTTAAAGCCAGACTCTGGGCTGCTTTTAAATGTACCCATGCTGCTTGATTCCCTCCCCCACATTTCATGGGCTAAATACAAATTATTACTTTATTCCTCACTCCCACAAGATTCCTCCTCTTTGTTGGACTGATCCTCTGAAGTGCTTTACCTGGCTACCCGGCCGGTCGCAGCTTTCTGATGTCATAACACACTAAGCAGACCTAACAGTCCTGCATTGTATAGGAGGGGGGCGAGGGTCTGCTCACAATCCAGGATGTCTGGCAGTGGAGGAAAGCACCGGCTGTCAGGGGAATGAGCAATAAGGTAAGTATTTATGCTTCATTTTGTATCCCCCTTCCCCTCCCCCCAGCCAAATGAGCATTTAACCCATGCAGTGCAGGGGTAGCCCACACTAACCAACCTTAAAGAGGGGCTTTAAAAATAGCTTAAACTGATACTTAAAGATATTTAAATCACGTACATTGTAAGAAAAAGATAAGACAACATCAATATATATATATATATTATATATATATATATATATATATATAGTTTGAACGCATCTGTTACTTGTGGTGCCGGATGCTTTAACGAAGGGTGCCCTAATGGATGATAGGACGCTGCATAAACACACATGCATTACCCCAACACATAGTCTGAAGGGGTCCTAACAGATGCACTTTAAAAGTAGATATTGGGCAGCACAGTGGCTAAATGGTTAGCACTTCCACCTGGCAGTACTAGGGTAATTGGTTTGAATCCCAACCATGTCACCACCTGCCTGGGGTTTGCATGTTCTCCCTGTGCCTGCATGGGTTTCCTCCGGGTACTCCAGTTTCCTCCCACACTCCAAAGACATGCTGGTAGGTTAACTGGATCCTGTCTAAATTGGCCCTAATATGTGTATGTATGTGACTTAGGAACTTTAGATTGTATGCCCCTTGAGGTTTAGGGACTGATGGGAATGTACAATATATATATGTAAAGCGATGAGTAAATTGATGGCCCTATATAAGTACCTGTAATAAATAAATACTAATAGTCAAAAAAGTGTCTAGTGACTACCATTGGCAATACACTGGTGAGTACATTGTCCCACAAAGATTATGCAAACACACACTAGGGAATATATTACCCCACAAGTCTATTGTGCACACACACTCGGCAGTATATTACCCCACAAGTCTATTGTGCACACACACTCGGCAGTATATTACCCCACAAGTCTATTGTGCACACACACTCGGCAGTATATTACCCCACAAGTCTATTGTGCACACACACTCGGCAGTATATTACCCCACAAGTCTATTGTGCACACACACTCGGCAGTATATTACCCCACAAGTCTATTGTGCACACACACTCGGCAGTATATTACCCCACAAGTCTATTGTGCACACACACTCGGCAGTATATTACCCCACAAGTCTATTGTGCACACACTTGGCAGTATATTATCCCACAAGTCTATTGTGCACACACACTCGCAGTATATTTACCCCACAAGTCTCACACTCGCAGTATATTATCCCACAAGTCTATCACTCGGCAGTATATTACCCCACAAGTCTATTGTGCACACACACTCGGCAGTATATTACCCCACAAGTCTACTGTGCACACACACTCGGCAGTATATTACCCCACAAGTCTATTGTGCACACACACTCGGCAGTATATTACCCTACAGGTCTATTGTGCACACACACTCGGCAGTATATTACCCCACAAGTCTATTGTGCACACACACTCGGCAGTATATTTCCACCCCACAAGTCTATTGTGCACACACACAAGTACTGAACAATATAACTGGCACACATTTTACCAAGCAGATCAGGTGTTTTTGAAGTATATCTGAAGCCAAACATTTTACTTTCATTGTGGATAAAATAGGGAATAGTTAATTGTTTTGATTTTTTTTTTTGTGCTACGTGTCCCAACAGGGAGATTTCCCTTCACTTGGGGTACAGTATTACCATTGGTTGCCGCCACATTCCCTGCACCTACCTCTTTGAAGCAATATATAAATTATCAATTCCCTCTTCAAGAAATGAGGTCCTGAAGAAACAACCTTTGTGAAACGCGTTGACCTTGGGGACTACATATTCAGGAGTGATTTGCATGTTGATATTGTATATGCTTCAACTATAGTAATTTGCATCAAAAGGAGATGGAACATTTCCCAGCATGGGTTTTAACATGTATGCTCTTTAACCCAATAAATGGATGTAAAGTTGTTTTAAAATGTCTGTATGTCCTTCTTGGTACCAGTAAAGTCCACCTTCTTTTCCCCTTTTTCTAGAGATTACAAATTGATTGTCAGGAACACAATAGCTGAGAATCATAGTGATTTTATCACATAAGCAACAGATCTCAGATAGACAAGCTAGCTAAAAATAGTGATGTTTAGGCTCCATGCACACTGGCTTAAGAAAAAAAAAAAACGCTGCTTCTAGTTTTGTGTTTTGCCTATAGAAGCAGCTCAGTGTTATCCTATGTGTCCATGCACATTAGGATGATTAGAGGAATATTTTAAGCTCAACGTAGGTAAAAAAAACCCTTCTGTTTTGCATTTTTGATTGGAGCTCTCTGGCAGAAAAAATGCTAAACTCTCCTAAAATGCTAAAGCTCTATATCAGCATTTTTTTCTGCCAAGGGAACTGACATTTTTCTTTAAGCCCAGTGTGCACGGCGCCTTACAGTGTTTTGTTCAATCAAACATGGAATCCAGTGCAGTTACAAACAATAGTACTCTCAAGTCATCAAGTCAGTTTTTCCACTTTGATTTCAGGCTCAGTATTGCCAAGAATCCCATTTAATTTTTTTTAACTGAGGGATCCAATCCCATAACTCATCACTTGGTCTCCATACCCCCTGAACAGAATCCTTGAAATAGATAAAATATTCCTCTAGGTAGTAATCTGTCAATCTGCACTTTGCATGGAAGATGTTCAGTACTGACACTGCTTGTGTACACTCACTCCGGGTATCTGCAGAAGACCAGATATGAGAAGTGGAAGCTTTAGCGCTGCCACACTACCTGTCACTCCCACAAGCACATGGGCTTCATGAGATGTGGGTGTAGTCATGGCACCGGGAGATTCCATGGCAGGATCAACGTCCTCAGGAAAGGCATCCTTGGTCAAATCCTGCAGAAAAATAAATAGGCAGATATTCAAAGATTGAAGTAATATTTGATCACCTGATGTTTTAATTTTTTATAGCCAAACTCCAACCAAACAGATAAACATGCAGGTGAAATTTATGTAAACAGTTTTACTTGCTGGGAAGAAAAAACCTTTTGGGAAATTACATTCATTCCAAAATTGAATGTCAAAAGCAAATTAAACTTTGAAGTATTTTTGAATCACATTCACAAAGTCATCAAATGTACTATTTTTTGTACAAATGTTTTTTTTATCAGGACACTTGTTAGTGGTCTGTTGGGTTGTTTATTTGAACATCATTAGTTCATTACAGCAGGCCGGCTCCTCCCATTTGTAGACATCTGTCTGTATGTGAGTAGATCATCCTCAACGACATGCAGATCAAACTCCATTAACAAATACTGCTAGCAAGCCTCCAACATCTACATCACAACAAAATATATTCTGATTGGTTGTCATCTGCAAGCCACTAGGAGTTCTGATCAGTTCCACATGTCTGCTTTTTAGCTGCACGATCCCTATGGACTTAAATGGTCTTGTATCCACTTACATCTGCCTACCTTCGAGTCCATCCAGGTCCGGGAAAAAAAACTCAGGATGACAGCCAAAAAGTAATAATTTATTGAAAAGAAATGTACAATGCTATAAAAAGCAGCCGAAGCATTTTGGACGTTAGTCCTTAGCCAAGACTAATGATTAACAATCGAAACACGTAGCTTGTTTTTACAGCGTTTTACATGTCTTTTCAATAAAGTCTTATCCATTAATATCCAGCTGCACATAAACCTTTCATGGGTCCACCTGTGTCTGCTGTTTACAAACTAAATGGCCACAGATGTAAAAAACAAAAAAAAAAAACACTGACATCCATCCATTTGGCTCCAATTCAGTAGGGGAGCTGCTCATGGATCCCCTTCTGATCAGAGGGCCCTTAGTCACCGGTCACACCGCTACCATTTAAAATCGTGAGATTTCAGGTGCGATTTCTGAAGACTCTATTACTACTTCTTAAGATTTTCAACGAATTCTTGCTATTTGCGGTGCGATTTCCATTGTATTCTATGTATGTGAAATCGCAACAAAACTGCAGAGAAAGTAATGCAAGAACTACTTTTAGTCCTCATGCACACTTGACGTTTTTACTGTGGCTGTTTTTGGCTTTTGACATTTTTTTCTACATCTAGTTACCCCCCCAGCATGTTGTCCTATGTGTCCATGCACATATACACTGTAATCAATGTTTTTTGGCTGGAAAAAAACCCAGAACTAGTGGGGTTTCTAGAGGAGGTTTTTAGCTGTAAAAACGCTCTAATGCTGAAAAACACGGCAAAATGCAGTAAAATGCAGCAAACTGTCGTTTTTGGACTTTTTTTGACACCCTCCCAAATTTTTTTGGGGGTAAAAAAAAAAAAACACTACAAAATGCAGCTGTGGAAAAACACCACTAAACGGTAATACAAAAACAAACTGAAAAACTCACGTTTTTAACACGACTTTACACAGCTAACGTTACCAGCGTTATCAATACGTCCCGTGTGCATGAGGGCTGAAAATCGCTCTGCAGCAAATTGCACATCTTAAGACACGGACATTCACTAGTTGGGATTTCAGCTCACAAGTCGCACCGGTATGACCGGGCACTTAGACAGAAGGGATGAGTCCAGACACCAGTCCACACCTACCTGAGCTACCCCTGCTGGAAAGTTGCAAAGTGAACAGCCAATCACAGGCAATGTAGGCATGCCCCGCCCCACACTGACTTGTATCCAAGGAATGTGGGGGTCTCTGATGCCTATGATTGGCTGTCTGCTTTGGCAGCTTCCTAGTGGGATAGCTCAAGCAGGTGAGGACTTGTGTGTTAGAGACAGTTGCTATGGGAACAAGTGTCCCCACCGGAAGATTTTCCCTCACTTCCTGTTCTGGACACAATCAGCAAGAACAACCTGACAGGTGGTCTAACCCCACATCACTCTAAATCTAAATGTAACCACTTGCTGTCCGCCCTATAGCAGTTTTCCTACAAAGTGTTGTCTTTAGTTCCCCTTTACCATTTCTCTGCCTCACTGAAGACAAGTGTAATGATAAGATCAGTGTTCTTCCTCTTCTACAGCCCAATCAGGAGGAAAGAAATAAGATCACATCCATCGATCATCACATTACCATCATCAGCCGCCCTCCTCTCTATGGCTCCATTCTGACCTGTACATAGAAACACAGCCGGCATGGACACTAGCCCGAGACTACAACTCCCAGAAGTCTGTATGCACTCACCGTGCAGCCAATGGACTGGCAGAGACTCGTATCCCAGCATCCTTCTCTCCCTGTAGTGCGCTCTAAATGTCCCAGCATGGATTTATTCCGCAAAGGATGCTGGGATTTGTAGTGCCGGGCAATACATAGGAGGGAGGCTATGCCTCTAGTAGATGTGTTCCGCTCAGCTTTGTGTACACGGACTGTAATCCGCACCTCCCACACACACAGTCCTCCCATAGAGAACAATATGAACATCCTGGAGAGGATTGCACTGTGCTACAGTACACCAAGACTACCCACAATCCTCTGCACTGTTTACATACCTACTCCCCGCCCACTAAGCAATCGCCGATCTCTTCCTGCTCATGAATACATGTCCCCGCCCACCTCTTAAAGCACACGTGACACTGACATGGATCAGTGACGGTATGGGGGAGCAGTGATCAGAGTCGACATTGGGGGGGGGAGCAGTGGTTGAAATGGGGGGAGCAGCAGACATGCAGGGGGGGGTGTCAGTGACAATGACATGGAGAGGACAGTGACATGTAGGGGCAGTATGCAAGTGGCAATGACACGGAGAGGATAGTGGCAGTGTCAGGCACATGGAGAGGGACAGTGTTCTGCTGACGTGGGGGGCAGTGGCAGTGACATAAGGACAGTGTCAGTGACATGGGGCTTCAGTGACATGGAGGTGCAGGTGACATGGGAGGACGTCAGTGACATGGGGGGAGCAGTGGTATGGAGGTTGTAGTGACATCGAGGGGAGCAGTGTATGCCATGGTGTGAATGGCCTGCAGTGTCAGTGACATTGGGGCAAACAGTGTCAGTGACATGGGGTGGGGGCAGTGGCAAGTAAGGGGCAATGACATGGGGAGGACAGTGGCAGTGACATGGGGGGCAGTGTCAGGGAGTGACATGAAGACAGTGCAGGCACATGGGGGGGGGGGGGGGACAGTGTCAGTGACATGGGGGAGCAGTGACTTGGAGGTTGCAGGTGACATGGGAGGATGTCAGGGGGGGGGGTTGGAGCAGTGGTATGGAGGTTGTAGTGACATGGAGGGGGCCAAAGTCTAAGTGCCATGGTGGGGGGGCCAGTGACATGGAGAGGACAGTGTCATGGGTGGGGGGCAGTGTCAGTCAGACATTGGGGCAAACAGTGTAAGTGACATGGGGTGGGGGCAGTGACAGTAACAGGGGGGCAGTGGCAATGACATGGAGAGGACAGTGGGGGGGTGACATGGGGGAGGTCAGGCACATGGATGGAGTGTCGGTGACATAGGGGGGCAGTGGCAGTGACATGGAGTGGACAGTGTCGGACATGGGTGGGGGGGCAGTGTCAGTGACATGGGGGTGGGACAGTGACATGGGTTGGGGCAGTGGCAGTAACGGCACAGTGTCAGTGACATGGGGGAACATCAGTGACATGGGGGGGGGGAGCAGTGTCAGTGGCATGGGGAGGACAGTGACATGGGGGAGCAGTGTCAGAGATTTGGGGGGGGGTCAGTGATTTGGGGGGGGGGGGGAGGACAATGTAAGTGACATGGGGGGCAGTGTTAGTGAATAGAGGGGGGTAGTCAGTGAAATGGAGCGGAACAGTGATAGTGACAGCCGGGAAAACTGTTCTCCCTGATGTCACTATCACTGTCCTCCCCCATATCACTGACACTGCCCCCACATGTCGCTGACACTGTGCTCTCCCCCCACCATGTCACTGACACTGTGCTCTCCCCCCAATGCCACTGCCAGCCCCCGTTACTCACACTGTCCTCAACATGCCACTGCCCCCTCCCCCCATGTCACTACACTGACACTGCAACCTCCATATCACTGACACTGCCCACCCCCCATGTCACTGACCTCCCCATGGATGTCAGATTGGTAGCAGTAGCTGTATTCCTGATGACATGAATGAGACTGCCTGCATACAGAAGAATGAAACACCTGTGCCTCCCATGCGGTCAAAACATGGTCCTCACAGGGGGGGGTAGGGGGGGCGGGGTACACTATAAAGTATAGTCCGCCTTTACCAAAACACTGCCTGTGCAGATAAGGGGTGTCTGTAGATAAAAACAAACTGCAGCTCTGACTAAAACTGAATAAGGCCCTTGTTATAGGTGTAGGCCATTTACATACCTCATGAAGCCTGACTGGAAACCTCCCAGGACATTGCTATCAGCAAATACATCATCCAGCACCACTTTACGCATCATCACAAACCACTTGACTTCCTCAGGGACTAGTTCTACACGTGTTGTCACAAACCACGTGACTTCCAAAGAGGCTAGCCACGTCCAGGAGCGGACTGACAACTCATGGGGCCCCTGGGCAATAGGGGATTATGGGGCCCGTGTCCTTGCCCAAACTCAAAAAAGCCTATGAAAAAGGTACCAGGGGCATCTCATGGGGCCCCCTACTGACCCAGGGCCCTCGGGCAGTACCCGAGTTTCCAAATGGTCAGTCCGCCCCTGGCCACGTCCTAAGCATGTCATCACAAACTATGTGACTTCCTCAGGGGCTAGCCCTGAACGTATCATCACAAACCACGTGACTTCTCAGGGGCTAGTCCTACATGTGCTATCAGAAACCACTTGATTTCCTCAGCGGCTAGTCCTACACGTGTTGTCACAAACCACATGGCTTCCACAGGGGCTAGCTACGCCCTAAGCATG